CAGTCACCAAACTGGCCTTGTTTCAATGTTACTGGAGATGAACACGGAAGGCTGAGTTAAGGACCTGCCAGGCTGACTGGCTGCCATGTTTGTAGATGGGTAGGTGGTGTTTGTATCAGAGAAGACAATGGGAAGTTGGCTTTTATCCAGTAGGTAGCAGAGAACCACTGAAGAGTTTTACAATAAGCAAGGGCCTGGCATATCTGTTATTTGAAAAGATGGTTGGGTTTGTTCTGGTAGAAGAGATAGCTGTTCTCAGACTTCATCATTCCCAGGGCTCATGAGAACATTTTCTGGAAGAGTTGGTTGTGTATGCCTGCAATCCTAGTACTTGGGAGATGGTGGAAAGTCCTGCTCTTTGAATTTATACCCAGTTGCATGCACAGTGAGTTCAAGTCCATTCTGGGAATTATGAGACTCTAGTTCAAAACAAAAACAAAACCACATACCAAAACAAGACAGAGCAAAACAAAATTGGATCTCAACTGAGAGTGTGAATGTATTTGCATCCGTGAATCACACGGTGGAAATTCCTGGAGGAAATACTTCATGAAACTTGGAGCATGGTGTCTCAGGCTGGTAATCCTAACTAACACTCCAGGGGCTGAGGCAGGAGGTTCCAGAGTTTGAAGCCAGGCTGGCCTGCATAGTGAGATCCAAACTACTGCAGGAGGGCTGGGTGCTGGGAGTAATTACCTAACTATAGGCAGTTGTCTCAAGCAGGTGAAGGAGCAGGATGCTGGATACTGGGTGGGTGGATGGAGTTAGAAGAGTGGCCTGGAGAAGCATCCTCTCTCCTAACCCAATGGAACCTCACTATGCATCTTGCTGCCTTAGACACAGTTCAAACAGCAAAGCATCCTTCCTGCCTTAGCTCTTTCTCATTCTGGCTTCCCTGCAATCTGCTGCTGATGCTTTTCCTTAGCTTCCTTCTCAAAAGTTCCTGGACTCGGTCCTCATTCCCTGCTCCCAGGACTTGAACTCCCACCTACTATGTTGGAAGTGCCCTTAAACTTTTAATAAAACAACCCACAGTCCCTGGAGATATCACTCATCATAGGATACTTACCTGTCATGCATGAGGCCCTAAAGTCTATCCCCGGTGTAATAAAATAAAAATAGCATATTAAAACAGGCAGTAAACCAACTTAGAGCAGCAGTATTAGGTGCTTTCTTTGTTCTTTGCCAGTATAAAATGCCCGGGGCAGAATCTGCTATGTCTTATTAGTTATTATAGAGCCCCCCCCAACACTCACAACATGCACAGTGTGAATGCATAGTAGGGACAAAGATGTATGAGTAAATAATCTAAATGATTTCTCCCTAAAAATAGAATTCCCCGCTGGGCTGAGAGGCATATGCCTTTAAACCCAGTACTCAGTAGGGAGAGGCAGGCAGCTCTCTGAATTCTAGATCAGCCAGGGCTACAGTGAGACCTCCCCACAACCCCTCAAAAAGGGAAGGAAGAAGGGAGGGAGGGAAGAAAGGAAGGAAGAAAGGAAGGAAGGAAGAAAGAAAGAAAGAATTTCCTTCATAAGTGTTGCTTTGAGATAAGCTGGAGATGGTAGTGCACTCCTTTAATCCCAGCATTTGTGAGGCAGAAGTTCAAGTTTGAGGCCAGCCTGATCTACAGAAGGAGTTCCAGGACAGCCAGGGATACACAGAGAAACCAAACCAAACAGACAAAAGAGAATTGCTTTGGGAATATCGATAACGCATGTCCAATTTTTAGCACACGGTAAACATTAGCTGCTATCATTGCCAGTGGTTGGGACATTCAACAATTCTTTTCCAGCTGAGTTGGCTGTGGAGGTCCTGTACAAAGCAGGTGTATTCCAACCTAACTTTCCCGAAAGCTCAGGGTCCCCAACCCTACAGACCTCCAGCTGCACTAGAGAGTTCAGCCTTTAATGAAGCCATGGGGTGACAACTGGAAGAGAGTGTTGGGGATTGTGTTGGAGCTTTAGGCATTGTTTAGAAACAAAGGACATTCCTTTCAGCCTCAGAAGACCTACAACCCATTAACACTTATTCCCCTCAACCCTGTCTTCCTAAAGAGCTTAGTGTAGCCTAATATTGAGTGAAATAAAACTCAAAAGGGAAATCCACTCAGTCACTAAGTCAACTCACACGGGTTTGGCAAAGCCACGATTACTGGGTGTTTACCCTAAATTGTCAGTTTGTTGGGTTTCTCCGGAAAGGCTTGAACAACAAAAATATTGCTAAAATGTTCATAATGAGTAGGGGCATCCTTTTAGCTGAGTTTTATTTGTGTTTGTAGTGTTGAGGATCAAGCATGTGCCCTTATTTGTGCCAGCCAAATGTCCTATCAGTGAACTACAACTCAGCCCAGACTTCATTGTTGAAAATGAGTCCCTGTTCTCATCCTGGTGAATGCTTCTACATTCCTCCTCCTTTGAAATAGACCTAGAATGCCCTCTGACCTTAAGTGAAACGTTTGTTCCTGAAGGTACCTAGTGGTATATTTATAGACAGGCTGAGAACCATCTTCTAGCATGTTATAACCCAAGAATTATTTTTTGTTGGGAAGAAATGCTTCAGGGTCCCTTAACAGATATGCTGAAAAATAATTATTAACTAAATGGGTCATTGGTTATTGTAAACAAACCACAGAAAATCCCTCACTCTTTTTGTCTTTTGTCTTCTTTTCCCAAGCTTAGTGCCAAAATTTGTTTTAAAGTCCAGCAGAGGATTCTGCTTATATGTCCAAGCTTGGAATAATCCAAGTTGGATTGTGATGACTTCCTTCATCTTAAAGTTTGATTGATTGCTCTATAATCTTGGTCTCCAGTGTTGCCCCCAAATGGCAACATAAAATACACTTCCTTCCTTGTTGTCCATTCTATTCTGAGCAACACCATCCCAGGAATCCTCACAGGGAGCCCTCCATTCCAGTGTCATGGCTAAATGACAGATACTAGCTAAGTCTTGTATAGTCCATAAAGCTACTCCCCTTTCCCGACTCGTGTTGATCATTATGTACAAATTTGATTGCACAACGTCAGACCCCTGGGAGTCCAGACTGGCTGTGAAAGCCTTCCTGACTTTCTGGAAGGAAGCTGGCTGATGTCCTGTTTTCAGACTGTTCCCTGGCTTGGTAAAGCTAAGAGGTGCCCTGATAGGCAGCTGGGAGACTTCCCTTCCATTCCCACAGCCGGACTCAGAATTGTTAAACTCATGTCCTGATCTTTTGGAGCAGGGAGTTGTTTTCCTAAGAAGGACTGCTCTCTTATGCCTTGGGCTTGCCTGGACTTAGTGATTCAGCCTAACATCTTACCAGTTCTCAAGTGAGTCATCCCAGGGCTGACTCCAGCCTAGGCCACAAAGGGGCAAAGAGGGAGCTGTTCAAGAGCACCCCCTGCTTTTGTAACTCTTAGAACTACTCAAAAGTCTGGGTTTTGTTTTCCTTTGAATTTAGGGGAGAGGGTTTGATAGTTTGAAGCTGAGGGTGCACCTAAAGGAGCCAAAAAGAAGGATGAATAACTAAATGTTAAATGCTTGAATAGATTATTTTAGGAGGCCAAAGACAGGGTTACTTATTGGTTGATGAGTGATGGGAAATTAAAGTCTCAAAGACACTCCAGGATGCTTGAGATCTTCTCTGAGACAATGACGTCATTTAGAACACTCAGGCTATCTTCCCCTGGCCTCTAAGGCTGACATGTTCCAGTTTCTGGCTTGGTTTGTGGGTTTTCAGAGGCTTGTAATTAATAAGATACCCATTCAAAAATGCCTTCTCAGGGGCTAATGATGAGCATGTGTCATGAGTGTGTGAAAGTGCTTGGGAAGGGAGAGCTTGCAATTTCTAAAATAATGACTCTCATGACAAAGCCTGAGTATGTTTTCTTTTATGATCTGAACAGTAGCATTTCCAAACTGGCTTCTTCCCAGGGGCAATCAGGGATCTGATTAAAAAAAAAAAAAAAAAAAAAAAAAAAAATGGGTAAGGCAGGGGTGAATGAGCTATGTGCTTCTCAGAGTAAACAACATCATTGCCCCAAAACTCCCCAAAAAGCCCAGAAAACCCAAAAAGAGGGGAACTGATGCTTGAGCGGGTCTGAATGTGGAAACTTAAATGACTCCTGTTCTCATAGGTAGCAGGGCCATTCTTACTGGATGAACTGAGTGTTAAGTGATGTTGAGTCCCTTGGGTGCACAGATGGGTCCTTTCACGTCTGTTTCTATCTGTATAGTATGAGGAAACCACAGTACCTCTTTCATGGCACTGCCGTAGACTTCTACATCAAAGCTCAGAGCAGTGCCTGGAACAAGTGAGTTCATTCTCAGTCCCCTAACCAGCAGCTTTCCCAACTGAGGACGCCCAGATGAGCAGAGGCATGGCAGTATGACCTTGTTTTCAAGACTGCGGCCGCCCTGCATTCTGACTTTCTCTTCTGTGTCCTCACACATTTAGCGCTACAACCCTCTGAATCTTTAGAACTTGTTTTGGAAACCAAGTTAAACAAACCTAGCAGTGGCAGTATTTTCTTCGGAGGCGTAGGAGATTCGTGAGGGGAAGGGGCTGCCACTTGGGAGCAACAGGCAAAGAACAAACTGTGGCTCCCTCCCTTCCCCCATGAGCTCCTCAGCAGGGCTGAGCCTCTGGCTGGAAGGGAACCGGGGAATGAATGGCTTCAGTTAACTGCAGGGGATTTTGCCATCTTTTCCCCCTCAGTATATTTAACTGTTATCTTTAACCTCTTGCCTCGCCCTCTCCTGCATCTAACCTTCTCACCGCCTTTTGCCCTTTCCTAACTATCAACCCTGGTCCTTATCACCATTTGCAGGAAGTGTCTCATAACCCCGAGAATTTAAAGGCCTGGAGGCCCCCAGCCCCATTTTAACAAAGAAAACCCTTCCTTGCCTCTCTTACTCTTTCTTTCAATCTTTGTAAATCCACCTTGTGAAAGTGGTCAAATTCTGTTCACCTGTAACTGAGGAAGAGGAAGTTGGGAGGGAAAGAGACAAATCACAAGAGGTGGCTTAATTATATTTTTTCCAATTATTTTATTTTTTCTAAAAACAATAGAAAAAAATCAACTTTAAAAATGAAAATGTATTTAAATAAAAAAAATTATGGTTTATAATACATGTCTTAAAATCTTGTATAACTGTTATAAACGTTTTATTAAAGTTATTTACATTTAAGGGTCCTATTTACATTGGAAAAGTGGGTAAACTTTAAGATTTTTTTTTAAAAACAATTAAATACAAATCTGTTAAAGAAAAAGAAAAAAGATGGGAAGCATAAAAAAAAGTTCTTTTATGCCTAAAGTTTGAGGCAGTTAACATTATGGCTGAAGCTTGCAGTCCCAAAGCCCCAGCCAAGGTTGTGAGGTTAGGCTGTGAGCATGCATTTGAAGTCCAGCGCATCAGTTCTAAGAGAAGGGATAGCCCTCCCTACTCTCCATGAGTAAGGAGAGAGGATTCCAGAGCGGATTCCAGCTCCTCCTCACCCATAGGTCAGTTCATGCACCAGAATTTCGAAGCTGTTCGAGTTTGTGTTTCAACTGTTCTCTCCGCTTCCTCAGTAAGTCCTTTTCTGAGATGAGCTTGTGTTCTTCGGCTTGGACGGACAGGATGTAGGCGGTGGCTTTTTTGAGGATAACTACCTTGGGAGCCTTTTCATTGTTTTCCAACTCCGGGATCTGGTCACGCAGGGCAAAAAAGCTGCGCTTCAGCTCGTTTCTCCTCTGACGTTCCAAGACGTTGTGTGTCCGCCTCTTGTCGTTCTCCTCTGTATCTGAGGATCTGGGGCTGGAACATTTGCGGTTGTTGCTGATCTGTTTCAGGACCCTGCCACTGTCCAACTTGGCCCTCTTGGCAGCTGGATAGTCCTTCCTCGTGGAGGGGGGCGCTGCGTAATTGTGCTGATGAGTGGAGACATGGCATCTCTTGAGGACCAGAGGGCTGTGTGGAGGTTTGCTGTGGCCTCCTGATGGGGATGACCCCGATTCAGACCTCTTGGCTGGGGGCTGCCTCTTTTCCACAGACACTACATCAATTTCTTCCTCATCTTCTTGTTCTTCCTCTGAAGGAAAGAAGCGGAAGACCACCGTTAGAATTGCTTGCTTAAACCCAGCCACTATATAACATTTGACCAATGCTATGCAAATACCAAGTATTGATTGCTATGCCACAAAGGGTTCTGAAGAAAATTTGGACTAGATCTTGACACCATCTTCACTTCTCCCCAGAAAGGCAGAGCAGGGTTAGAGCAGGTGAGAAAATTACCATGCACCAGGATATGGCATCCATGCCAATTCTTACCTAAGACTTAATGAGGCTGCAGACACACCCAAAGCAAAGCATATTCCCAAGCACCTCCTATTTTTAAGGGACTTTACCAAGAACCCTTCAGGTGTTGTGAGTGATAGCTGCAAATCTCTTGGTATGACTTTAGCAACTCCCTTTTTTACTGGAAGTGCAATAATAAAAAATTTTTTTGCAGCTTTGCCAAAGGTCTTGGTAGGGGTGGGGTGGGGGGGGGAGAAAAAAAGAAATCCAAATTGGACAGGATTGGCTTTGAAGTGTTCAGAAAAGGATGGGAAGAAAAAAAAAAAAAAACAAAAAACGCCAGCTTCTCAAGTCTTTAGGAACTTTCACTAGGGCCTGGCACTGAAGCTATAAAGTGTGTCCTGCTTCTGTCCTTGCTTCTCTTAGGTCTTGTGCAAACTTATCCATTAAAATTCAAATATTTTTCCGGAAGTCAAGAGAAGAAGCAGGTAATTCATTCACCCTCCATGGGATCAGCTCTTACCCTCATTCACACCCTTCCCAGGGTAATTAAAATGCTTAGGAGAGGTAAAAGGGAGTGGATTGAGTTGAAAGATAAGCCAGAAGATTTAAAAACCCAAATGAAATTCCTGAGGGGTGGGAAGGGCGCGGGGGGGGGGGGGTACGGACTGACAACCAGGGCGGTCTGGGGGGAAGGGGGGAGGGATCGCTGAAGCACAGGAATATCCGGGATGAAGAGCCCTTGGCAGAGAGAAAGAGGGGGTGAGCCCAGGGGTCAGCTGAATTAATGCCAATGAGGTCCATCCAACCTCTCCATCCTATCCTGCTGGGAATGCCCCGGCTTACCCGAGTCGCTGCTGGTGGTGGGAGGTGTCTCCTCATGCAGCACTAGGGGCTCCGGGCTGGCCCGTGGGGAGGACTCCGAGGACAGCAGCGAGTCCGAGGACGGTGAGAAGGCTGTGGAGTCGGAAGAGGTACAGGACTTGGGCGAGCTGCTGTCGTTGAGCGGGTAGGGGAAGACCACCGAGGGGTCGATGCACTCGGACGCGGCGGCGGTGAGGTCCTGCAGGTACAGGCTAGAGGTGGAGCAGCCGCTGTGCCCGCGGGCGGGGCTCGGGCTGGCGCTGTCTTTGCGCGCAGCCTGGTAGGAAGCCAGCTTCTCCGAGACCAGCTTGGCCGCGGCTGAGAAGCCGCTCCACATACAGTCCTGGATGATGATGTTCTTAATGAAGGTCTCGTCGTCAGGGTCGCAGATGAAGCTCTGGCTCACCATGTCTCCTCCAAGCAGCTCGGTCACCATCTCCAGCTGATCGGCGGTGGAGAAGTTGCCGCCGCCACCGTCGTCGTCCTCCCTTGGGGAGAAGGACGCAGCGACCGCAACATAGGATGGAGAGCAGAGCCCCGAGCGGCGGCTGGGGGACAGGGGCGGGGTGGGCAGCAGCTCGAATTTCTTCCAGATATCCTCACTGGGCGCCGGCGGCTGCAGCTCGCTCTGCTGTTGCTGGTGATAGAAATTCTCTTCCTCGTCGCAGATGAAATAGGGCTGCACCGAGTCGTAGTCGAGGTCATAGTTCCTGTTGGCGAAGCTCACGTTGAGGGGCATCGTCGTGGCTGTCTGCTAGAGGGGGCACAGGAAGGGAAGCAATGCTCCAGTTAGCCGGCTCTGGTTGATGCAGAAACCTGGCGCAGCGCGTACCCCAATCTTGAACCACTCCCCTTCCAGTGTAATGTCCTTCCAAGTGTGTGTGTGTGTGTGTGTGTGTGTGTGTGTGTGTGTGTGTGTGTGTGTTGAGGGGGATGCGCTCTTTTACTCCCTACTATCGCGACGCACATCGGACCAGCAGCTGCTCCGAGTCCCCGCCTCCTTGGAGCAGGGACTTAGCTCTGCAGACGCCCAGGAATCGCCATCGGCCTTGGCCTCCTTCAGAGGCTGAGGGAGGCGACTGTGGGGAATACAGGCTGCCAAAAGCCAAGGCGCAAAGTTTTGCGCCACCTGAAGGAGAAAGGCGAGAGGCGCCGCGGTGCTAAGGCTCCTCCCGCACCAGCAGTCTGCGCCGCCAACCGGGTCCGGGTCCCCGCTCGCGCCGCCGCCGCGCTCCTACCCAGCCGGCGCCGCCGCCCCTCTCCGCCCTCCTCTTTCTCCACCCCCAGCGCGCCCCCCTTCCTTCCTCTGCCGGCTTTTCTTTCCGACTGCTGGCTTGGAGGGGCGAGCTCAGCCTCCGGCTTTAACGAGCCTTGCCAATATAAAAGGGGAGGGGGTGTCAAATAATAACAGGGACACCTCCCTTCTACACGCTACACCGCGACAGCACCGCGCCAGAGACCCCGCAGCGATTCGGCACCCCGAGCCGGGAGTCTTCCCTCTCCCGCCGAGGGTAGCAGCTGTTACGGAACAGCCCGGATCACGATTCACCGCAGTCTTCCTAGCAATTCAGGGGCGCGGGGATACCCGCCGATCCCAACCCGGAATGTGAGGGTTCCCCCTCGTTTCCCAACGAATCGGTCACATCCCCGCCTCAGTTTTGCCTTCCGCCACTGCGCTAGCCCAGCACCAAGTCCTAATATCGTGGAGGTCAGGTTTAAATTTTACTGTTATCACTATTTTTTTAAAATTATTATTCCTATGTTTAAAGCCAAAGGGCAACTTCTTAAAAGGGTCAGGGACAAGTTGGAATCGCCGCTGGGGATTGGCGGGCGGGACGCACCTCTGAGTCGGTCTCCGGCTGTCAGAAATGCGCTAACCCGAAATTTAAATGCCCTCCCGAAGACTGGGAAAAGTCAAGAGGCTGCAGAGCCTTCTCGATCCCACACGCAAAAGGCAACCCCTTCTCCAAAGACCTCAGGGTACCAAGGACTTTCTCGACCTCCGGGTCCAAACCCCCAAAGGACACAAATAGCAATTAATGTAGCAAAGCAAAAACGTCCAACAGGCCGGGGTCAGTGTCAACCCCGAGTAACCTCTGGAACCCAATTTCAAAATGCACCCCGATTTTTTCTTCCCCTTTCCTCTGTCATCCTGACAAGCTCCACCCCGGCCTACCCCAACGACTCTGCTAAAAGTGTCAAAAGCACAGGAATGGCAGAAAGACTACCCTGACCGGCCGCTGCATTCAAGGCGCAAAGAAAATCCATTAGAAGACCAGCAGATCTGTCTTACCGGGTTTTCCACCGCCCCAAGGATATCCAGCCTTCAGAGAGCGCGAGGAGCTCCTTTCAGGGGAGCCGACCGCGGGCAGAGGCAGAGAACACTGTCCCCAAATAGACAAAAATTTCCTCCCCGTCGCCTGGGGAGTCCTGTCCTCACTCGCAGATTGTAAGTTCCAGTGCAAAAGTGTCCGCCCTCTGCAATGGGCAAAGTTCCCCAGAGGGGGCGAGGGTTGCGATCGCTGGTCAGCCGGAGAGCTGGGGCAGGGGGGCAGCAGGCCCGGAGGCGAAGCCCCTCTCACTCCCAAGCTGCCTTCCCAGGACGCCCGGAGCGCGGCTCTGCACACTGAGCTCTTCCAACCCGCCCGCTCACTCCCTCTGTCTCTCGCTGGAATTACTACAGCGAGTCAGAAAACGCCCCGCAAAGCTCCTTTTATACTGCGACTAGGCAAGATCCTCCCCTCGGTTCTTTTTCCCGCCAAGCCTCGGCGAAGCCCTGCCCTTCTGGAGGCAGGAGGGGAGCCCAGTGAGGCGAGGTGGCGGCGGCGAGCAGAGCAGCCCCGGGGTCCTGGGCCGCGGAGACCCTGGGATTATAAAGGGCTGGTGGGCGGGGATTCTCTCCCTCTTTCTCTCCCTCCCTCCCTCCTTCCTTCTCTCTCCCCCTCCCCCGTTCCCTCTGTCCCCCACCCCCTCTCCCCCAGCTTTGGGAACCCGGGAGGGGCGCTAGTGGGGAGCCAGGGAAAGAGGAGGAGCCTCAGCCGGGCAGCCCAGTACTCCAGTTCCTGGGGTGTAAACAGTGAGAGCGCAGCATGAATTAACTGCGCGCCCGACCATTTTCTCTCGCTCACGCGCACGTCCTTTCCCTTTCCGTCCTGTTCTTTTGGGCGCAGCGCTCGGGCGCACTGGGTTGGTGTCGTGCGTGTTTTCAGTCACCGCAGGTGGAACAGCTGCCTAGCTCCACACAATCCGCCATGTACCCTGCCTGGGGCGCGTCACTCACGTCCCGGGCGGCCGGGCGGCTCTCTAAGGTTGGGAAAGCAGAATTTAGAAAGGTTAGGACGAAAAAGTGGGCTGTCTATGATCCCGCTGACAGTGTGTGGAGTGTTAGATGGGGATCAATGGCAGACAAGGGCTACAGAGGAAAATGATGCCTGGAATTATTAAAAATTGCTCGGCAACGCACTGCCACGTATACTTGGAGAGCCACTTATAAACACCCATTGTATCTCTTGCGGAGGTCATTATGAATTTTGGATGTACACCTAGCTATGTCTACTAGGTACATTCTTTCCAGAACGGATCCCCCAATTTGCTGTTACAAAGCACACACACACACACACACACACACACACACACACACACACACACACACACTCCAGCACCTCCGGCTGGCTCAGACTTCCAGCAGGCAGGGGGTTGGGTGACGCCTGTTTCCCCAGGGCAACCTAACCCTGTAGGTCTCCCTGCCGGTTCCAGAGCTGGAGTAGATAGTAGGGGGAGCGGTGGTGGGTGGGCTCCACCTGGACCCTCCCGGTCTCTGCCAATCGGCACCCTGTCCCTCCCCGGCTCACTCAGAGTTCCGATTCCACAGCCAGCTTTCACAAGAGGCAAATCCTCTTTGCCCCTGTGGAGCCAGTTTGCACCAGACTCCGGTTTAGGGGCTGGAGGAAAATCAAGGCGCGAGACGAGAGAATACGCAGTGTGGGTGGCTGAGGGTGGGGGTGGAGGGGGACGGACACCGGACTTCCCAGAAAGGGGGAGGAGTAGAATTTGCCAGCTCGGATCTGGGGAGCCTGCGAAGACCCTAGTGTAAAGAAAACCGTTAACCCCCTCCTACCCGGACAAACCCAAGTCATTTTTCTTCTCTATTACTGGAATTGCAATTATGCACAAAAAGAAAAAAAAAAAAAAAAGCCAACGCCGATCTGATCAAAGAAATGTTGCATTCTTGCCTTCTTCCTTGGGTCTGTGTGTGTTCAGCTAATTAAAGCTGACTTAACTTTATGTATTAATTTTTCAGTTTACTTTTTTTCCTGAAGGCGTTGCTGTGAATTATGTAATATATATACACACTTGAGATGTATATGTATATATACATATTTATGGTAACCTAGTTTATTAACCAATTCGACACAGGAATGTTTTGCTCTGCCCTGTTTGTTATATAAGCATATTCCCTCGGGATTCGCTTAACCCTTGGCATCAAAACCCAAAGTAATCTCATTCATGGCACTTTAACCCAAGGCATTTTAAGAAACCTCCTGCCTTAATTCCAGCACTTGGGTGGCAGAGGCAGGCAGATCTCTGTGAGACTGAGGCCAGTCTGGCTACAGAGCGAGTTCCAAACAGGCTCCAGAACTAATGAAAAACCCTGTCTCAAAAGTGGGGGAAAGTAGTGTAGAGAGTGTATAGCGTGCACGTTGTTCAAGGTAGTTATTATCCATTGAGTTTGCAACTCAGGGTTCAGCTGTTAAATGATAGTATCTTCCTCCAGATCCAGCTCATTGCACAATTCAGCTTAAAGGATTGCAAAATGACTACAGCCTCTAGGATTTTGCCTCAAACGCTGAGAGCCGCCAATCCCTAGGCTGGGTTTTGCTGCAAGGACTCTTTCCCCGCCCCCTCCCCGGGGCGGCACAGCCTTTCTGGTTTGCGAAAGTAAAGTAAGTGTGCCCTCTACTGGCCACAGAGATCCTAGTGTTGCGAAGCCAACGAGGGCGGAGGTCGGGTGGGGGCAGGGCTTTTGCTCGCAGGGTTTCCAGGCCAGCCGCTGTGCTGCCAAAGATAAGTTTCCAGCCACCTTTTAATGACTCTTTCGGGCTACAAAGGAGCCAAAGGAAGAGAAATTACTAAGGAAAAAATGGTTCAGAGGTAGCTATTCAGTTGCATAGAGGTGTCGGAAATTAACTCATCACTACTTTCTGACAGTCACCCACGGGAGAGTCCTAGCTGTGGATGGGAAACGTGAATAATTCACAGGTAGACACTTGAGCAAAAATATCCTAACAAAACTGAAATGCACTGGAGCAAGCTTTAGCCCACACATCTCACACCTTTGACATGTTTCTGAGCTCGAAGTGTCACAGTAGGACCCTGAATTTTATTGTGCAAGGGAAGGCAGGAGGTGTAGTTTATCTGCTCTGTGCTTGTCATTTCTTTAAATTTATTTTTTGCATTCCAATCCCCGTTCCATTTCCCTCCTCTCCTCCTGCTCCCCCTACTTTCCCCTACCCCACCTCCCATCTGCTCCTCGGAGAGGCTAAGACCTCACCTACGAAGTCTACTAAGTCTGTCCCACCATCTCATTGAGGCGGGACCAAAGCTTCTCCCTACCCCAACACCCCTGAGTCTAGGCTGAGCAAATAGAATGGGCTCCATTAAGTCAGTTTTGCTTTCCAGCTGGATCTTGGACCTGCCAGTGACCTCTCCTTATCATTATTTTTTGTTTGTTTTTGAGACAGGGTCTTCTGCTAGCCCCAAACTCACCCAGTTTCTCCTCCTCCTTCTTTATCCTCGTCGTCGTCGTCTGGTCTGCCTCTTCCTCCTCCTTCATACAAGTCTTCAGTATCCCAGAATACCTGGTTTTTGAATGTATTGATGAGGGAGGCTGGAATCCAGAGTGCAGGCGACATAGGTAAACTCCCTGCCACCTGAGCTGAATCCCACACTCTGCTTTTCCATCCTTCGTGTCTCTTCAGTTCCACCGATTATGACTTGGGTGGGTGGCTAATAGACAGATTTTTTTTTTTTTTTTTTTTTTTTTTTTTTTTCTGAGACAGGGTTACTTCTGTAGTTTTGGAGCCTGTCCTGGAATTCACTCAGTGGACCAGACTAGCCTCAAACTCACAGAGTTCTGCCTGTCTCTGCCTCCCAAGTGCTGGGATTAAAGGCGTTGACTGGGCCAGATTTTTGGTTTTTTGTTTTTGTTTTTGAGACAGGGTTTCTCTGTGTAATAGCTCTGGCTGTCCCGGAACTCTCTCGTATATCTGCCTGCCTCTGTCTTCTGAATGCTAGGATTAAAGGTGTGCACCTCCACCCCCTAGTGATAGTGGTCAATATATTTTAGAGGGCCAATTTATTAAAAGGTTGAAGTTTTAGCCAGGTGTGGTGATGAGTGCCTGGGAGTCAGAGGCTAGAGGCTCTTTGTTTTTTTTTTTTTTTTTTTTTTTTTTTTTTTGTTTTTTGCTTGTTTATTTTTTTGAACTTATTTTTTAAAATTTTTTTTATTTTACATATCGACCCCAGTTCCCTCTTCCTCCCTCCCTTCCATGCCTCCCAACCACCCTCTCATCCCAAGCCCCCACCACTCCACAGGGAGGGTGATGTCTTCCAGGAGGGGTCAACAAAATCTATCAAGTCCTTTGGAGTAGGGACTAGGCCCTCCCTCCTGCCTCCAGGTTAAGGGAGTATCCCTCCATGGGGAATGTGCTCCCAAAGTCCTTTAGTGCAGCAGGGATACATCCTGGTTTCACTGTCTGAGGTCCCTTAGACTGCCCAGGCCTTCTAACTGAGACCCATGTTCAGGGGGTCTGAGTGGGTCCAATGCTGGATTCCCAGCTATCAGTCTGGGGGCCCGTTAGCTCCTCCATGTTCAGGTCAGCTGTTTCTATGTGTTTCTGTAGCCTGGCCTTATCCTCCCTCTCTGCATCTGGATTCTAGTTCAGCTCAGTGTTCAGCTGTGGGTGTTTGCTTCTGTTTCCATCAGATACTAAATGAGGGCTCTATGATGGTGGATAAGTTAGTCATCAATCTCATTATCAGGGAAGGGCATTTATGGTAGCCTTTCCACTGTTGCTCAGATTGTTAACTGGGGTCAGTCTTGTAAGTCTCTGGACATTTCTCTAGAGTCAGTTTTCGCTAGAGGATCTTTGAAGGCCTGGTTGTTGTAGGGCAGTTCCAGGCCAGGTGAGGTGTGGTGGCCCATGTCTTTAATCTCAGTGTTGGAGAGGCAGGGGCAGGCAGATTAACAAATGGCACCTCATGAAATGCAAAAGCTTGTGTATGGCAGAGAACAGCATCATTCAGACAAAATGGAAGTCTACAAAATGGGAAAAGATTTTTACCAACCACACATCTGATAGAGAGCTAATATTCTAAAGCGAAAATAACTCAAAAACTAGATATTAAAGAAAGAAATTAATTAAAATATGGTGTACAAGACGGGCATGGTGATGTAGACATTTAATTCCAGCACTTAGGAGGCAGAGGTGGGTGGATTTCTGAGTTCAAGACTCAGACTGGTCTACAGACTGAGTTCCAGGATTAGTGAGAGACTGTTGGAGGAGGAGAAGGAGGAGAAGGAGGAGAAGGAGGAGGACGAGACCTGTGAAAGTGATGACCCTCACTTTTAAACCCAGCACCCTAGATGTAGGCAGGTAGATTTCTATAACTTTGAGGCCAGCTTCGTGTTCATTGTGAATTCCAGGAGGATGGCCAGAGCTACAAAGTGAGTCCTTGTGTCAAAAACATCCTAAATACAAGCTGAAAATTTAAACCCAAATGACAAAGGACTGCATAAAGGTA